GATCAACCACAGCTAGAACAGGCGGGTGGATGGAATTACTGGATCAGAATTCACCGAAGACTTGGAATCGTTCCGCAAGACCTCGAGCAAGTGTGGCAGAATCAATCAGTTCATACTCAAGACGCGTGCTCTTTGAATACTGACGTGTTTTGTCTCGTCTGTATTCTACTCGGAAATAACTACATATAAGTCTTCCCAATCGGATATTTCCTCTACGAAAGTTACAGTTTCACTGGAAAAATGTTTTGCTACAGGACGTACAGCTCTCAGTCGGTCGGTACTACCACTTTCCAAACGGACAACTATGTGATAGGTCTAACTGCCTCAGTCAACTGCTTAGCTCAGGTTGCTGCAACTGCAGCGCTACTTGTCTCATTCGATCATATACCTTGGGCCTGTGGGAAGCTTTGGGCATTCTTCCGAGTCGTACAACTGGGCAGTCCTATGTAAGGTTGACAACTTACTTTACTTATCACTGCTTTTCTACGTTTCGCTTGATACAACCATCTGTGTATCTCATTTATATCCCCCAAATCACCAGTAGAAATGAGTAATAATTGGGTCCTAACCAAATCTGGCATCAGGAACATCTCAGGCAAAGCCTCATCCCAGCTCCAAACCTTCTTATCAGTGGTAGTAACGAGGGCCAGAGGCAGAAAGCTTAGTGCCGCCTCAAAAGATCACGGGTCAACCCTAGTAGGGCAGTTGCAACTACCATCTCCTGGGAAAAGTCGAATTCCTGTCCCTGTGAACCGTTGTGCCGTGGTTCATCAACGAGCACGTCTTTCTGGTGCCACAAGCCCAAATCCTAGTCTACCTGTGAAGTCTACCACTGAGAGACGGAAGAGAAGGAAAAGAAAGTCGTTAACCAAACCTTCTAGTCAGGCTGACGACTGTCATATATGTGGTCTCACTGTAGTCCAGAGGGATGCTGCCTTTGAGTGTAACATCTGCAATAAGTGGGTGCACAGTCAGTGTTACGAGGACATACCAGACCAATATTACACTTTCATGGCGTGCTACCCATGCACGAGGTTCTGGTACATCTGCCCACAGTGCCGTATAGGGCCACTCTTTTCTAAAGGCTCGCTGATGGAGGCCGTAAAAGACATCACAGTGACTACTGTGATGCCGGCACCCACACAGACCACAACCCAGGCCCAAGCAGCAAGAGTGTCAGCACTGTACCCCGGCCAGTCAAACTGGTGAATAGTCCAAAGAGACCAAAACGACGACCGGGTACGTGACCAACTGCCTTCGCCCCTGACCCTGAAGACACTTTAGAGGCTTACCCTACTGTGCAACGGAAAAAATTGGTGATAGTGGAAAAGAAGGTGCCCCCTTCCCACAAAAAACCACCCACAGCACACGAAAATACAGAAGCTGATGGCAGATCGAACTCCGTCATCTTATTTAACATCCCTGTGTGCCGTAATAGTCTCCTTGAGAACAGAGAATCGCTTGACAAGCAGAAATGGGAAACCATATGCACCAAACTAGGAGTGGATGGCCTAGAGGCAAAACTATGCAGGCTCTACAAAGGCAACTGCCCACCTCAGGGAAAGCCTCCGCCAATGAGAGTTACCCTAAGCTCGGCCAAAGAAGCGGAAATATTCTTGCTGATGGCACACACGCTAGTCATCAACAGGTCATCCAGCATTAGAGCCGGACCAGACCGCCCTTGGTCAGCAAGGAAAGTATCTCACGAAGCGCCCCAAACGCTGAAACCAACAACTATGGTTTTCCACGGCATACCGGAACTGACAACGGGCACAGTCGTAGAAAAGTGTGCTCACGACGTCCGGCAATGGCGGTGGTTGTCAGCGAGAATGGGGCTAAATGGGATAGCGGCGGCGGTCTGCAGACTTCCAAGTATCTCACATTTGACGACGATAACGGCACCCAGGTCGATGGTTGTTAACTCCGGCCGTCAAGAACTTTTAGCCAGTGTACTGCAAACTTGGTACAGAGTAAAAGGTAACATCAGTGGGAATGTTCGTCACTATGAAAGCAGGCCCAGGACACTGCGACAACAGCAAATGGCGGCACCGCCCACCGCTGAAGTCACCAACACTGTCAACAGACAAGATGCATAATCAAGCCTGGACTCTATGAAACCCCCAGAAACCATTGTGGGAAAAAAGTGATTAGGCCGGTTCCACTGGAGCTGACCGTCCTACAGCAAGTTTCGTCACTACGCACGACTCCCTCCAGTCTGCCAGCACCAAGATACCCCTTGTCGTTGGAAACATAGCTAAGTGTCTTTACGTCAATGTGAGGGGATTTACAAGTAAAATGGGGGAATTACGATTTCTCTGTTCCTACCTTGCTCCAACGATCATATTCCTGACAGAAACTTGGTCATCACCGGACATTAGCGACGTCGAAACTAATATAGGCGGTATGATTCTGCTCAGGAGAGACAGGGAGTTTAAGGAAGGGGGCGGAGTGGCGATGCTTATAAGTGATAACCTTGAAAGTGAACGAGCAACTGAAACCCTACTTTCAGGCTCCAGACTCCATCTAGTGTCAACTTAAGGTTGGACACACCAAGCACCTGGTTGGAGGCGTCTACAGAACACCTACTAGCAGCATGGAAGATGACCGACAACTGCTGCAAGTTATGTCCCGAGCGACGTCCATCGGATATGACCGGGTCATTATAGCCGGCGACTTTAATGCTCCGACTCTCAATCTTGGGCAGGGCAAGGAAACCTCAAGCCGAAGGTTCGACAGAAACCTACTCAACACTGTCCAAAAGGCTGGGCTGCACGAGAATATTGGTGATGACACTGGCTGAGGGTCGGGCGGAAAGCAGTCCAAACTGGACTACCTTTTTACCAGTGACCCAGTGCTGGCAGGAAATGCACAGGTTCAAGCCCCCTCAGCAGCAGCTATCATGGAGTGGAAGTGTTCTACCCTGTACTCTCCGAACAACTGTCATGAGAGGGATCGCGCCCTCGTCTCTGCTACAACAAAGAGAACTCCGTGGCGATGAACCAATATCTGTCGACAGCACCATGGCCTCAGGCGTGGAGCAACCTGTCTGTTGACCAACATTAGGAACTAGTCAGAGATATCATCAAGAGGGCTGTCTGCGAAAGCGTCCCGGTAATCACAGCAATACCGCGGAAACGAACCTCATGGTTGAAGCGAGGCACTGAACGCCTTTTGAAAGCCAAGAGGAAAGCATGGCATAAGTGGAGGACCTCCAGAAACGAATCTGACCACAACGCATGCATGGCCCTAAGAAATCCATGCAACATCAGAGTGAGGGGAGACAGGAGGTCGTTCCAGATGAACCTTGGCCAGGGGCTCGAGGTGAACACCAGAAGCCTATATCGATTTATGACGGGCGGAAAATCCACCAACCAGGGGGCCTGCGTCCTGAAAGGCCTGAACAAGAGAACCTCTCCGGACTAGAGATCGCCGAAGCCTTCAGCTCCGCCTTCGATACGCAACCGGATAACTCCCTATTGAACCAAAATTGCCAGCCGTCCGGCCGACATTAGCACCACCAAAGGCAGTGGAGTTACCTGGAATGGAGGTAACTCCTGCTATGGTCCCCGAAAAACTGCCAAAGCTCCGCTCAGGGAAATCACCAGGGTGTGATGACATCCGGCCGGCTGTGCTGAAACAATGCGCGGGTGCCTTGTGCGGTCCACTGTGTAACTTGTTTCAGCACTCCTTAGACAATCACATGCTTCCACAAGAATGGAAAAGTGCTGTTCTGTCCCCCATCTTCAGAGTTGGAGACAGGCAGAACCCAAAATGCTACTGGCCCATAGCCCTCCTACCAGTGGCGTCAAAAGCAATGGAGAGTCTGGTAGACGACCATCTCAGGGAGTACTTAGGAGGGAGGGGAGCACTTAGTGATGCACAGCATGGTTTCAGAAAGGGTAGGTCCTGTGCCACAAACATTCTGGCGGCTAGTGATAAGTGAACGGCATGCTGGGACCTCCGAATTCCTGCCCATGTTATTTTCCTGGATTTTACTAAGGCCTTCGACACAGTTCCACGCACCATTTTTATTCACAAAACAGAAAGATTTGGCATCAAGGGACAAGCGCCTTCATGGTTGCATCTGAAAAGAGATGTGAACCTCCTGGAGAAAGTCCAAAGGCGAGCTACGAAGGGTGTCGTGGGAATGAGGCAAAAACCATATCAGGACAGGCTGAAAGATCTAGGGCTCCTCTCCCCAAGCTACCGCAGATAACGTGGTGACTTGATAACGGCTTACAAAATACTCAGTTACCCAAGTCATCCGAACAATGGAATCCTACCGAGCGGCCACTGTGGCAATCCTCGTAGTAACCCAAGGAGGATCGCTCATCAAAGAGCGAAAACCCGTGTGCGATCACACTTCTTCTCTCTGCGAGTTTGCGGCCACTGAAACGCATTGCCTGCCGAGATTGCTACTGTTCCGTCTGCTGACGGCTTCAAAAGGAGGTTGGACAGTTACGCAGAGACGCACGGTTTGCGCTCATCCAACTGGGATGTGGACTAGGCTAACACGACTTTCTAACTCGGTATGACCAACCGTTACTGAACACTTTGTAAAACCACTATCACTGAGAACTTGGCTTAACCTTATACCTTCCTGTAGACGTCCCCTCCAGTTGCCACCCTCTACTAAAAGAATTACTATATTTCCGTTCGTCCTATCATATTATTTATTCTTCTTACTTCTGACTTTACGTTCTCGGACTTTAACAAAAGCTCTCCCTACCACATATTCCCCATGAACTCACCAATGTTTATTCTTCCGTGCCGTTTCCGTTTTCCTAATCTTTTCAAATATATATTCTTCTTCTTCTTCCTTTTTTCCTTTTCTTTTTCTATTTTGTCTGTCTCTGCACTTTCTCTCCCTTGATTTTTCATCTCCTTTTTACAACCAGTCCGACCAATTGTCTGATGGCACTACATGTGAGGAACCCATCTGCACCACAGTCCTCGGAAGGAAAAGCAAACAAACAAACAACACTCCCTACAAATATAAACAACACCCAACCGCCCGACGGGCTAACCAGAGCTACAGCAGTCGAGTGGGTAGACCTACTGCATTGGAATCCACCAAAGACCTGAAACCGTTTCGCAAGACCTAGGAGTGAGCGCAAAGAGATCAATTGGTTTGCACTAGCTCGTTGAAAGATATTGGATACTAGCACGTAGAAAGATATTGAATGTTGGAGCGCCCTCTTTACATCAGTGCGTTGCTTATCCTGATGACTGTCTGTGTAACACAATATTTGTCATTTCCTTGGGGATTTGTAACATCACTATTCTGGGAGCGTTATCCAAATCCATATGCGTATGTCCTTATTTCCAAATCTTATGTACGTTGTTAGGAAACATGTCTTATCTGAAGACGTGTTGGAAAGGAGATTTCTACCAGATGGGAAGTTGTATACTAAACGGTTAGTAATTAAGATCTCGAAAAGAATTCCAAAATTCATGCTGAGATTTATCCCAAAAGGCCAGGTTCCAGTTGTTGAGGAGTCTATCATTGATGTTAAGGCCAAACGAATAGATGTGGTTTCGGAAAACTTTGGTTCTAGTAAAAAATACTTGGTAAGTTTTCGGTTGTCATGCAGGTGTTGTGCATATTAGTATTGAAATTCGGACCACAGTAGTTGCCAAAATAAATGGTGTATTTTAAGTTGGAACGCACATGTGGGTATGTACCCATATAAAGATATATATATATATATATATATATATATATATATATATATATATATATGTACTATGTAACTTAAAAAATTAAGAATACTGATTCATCTTTCCTATGCTAAACCTTGATCAAAGGTGATAGGAGTAACCTTTAGCTGACTATGTACCTAAGGACGATGGTCCATTAACCACACTTGCCGAACACTTGAAACGCGTTAAACTTTATTTGGAGTGTGTTAAACAAGATAGTAGGGTCGTCAACAGAATAAAAAGGTTTCAGGAATTCTCCTTACGAGAATCTGACAGATGCAGAGAACAGTCATTAGTTCTTCGTACTTGTAAAATACCCACGGGTGGGAGATCAGGGGAGTCGAAATATATTCAGCAACAATGTTCAGTGTGCAAGAAGCCACAACTGTTTTTGTGAAGGTTAATGATATTACCTGGCTGCCTAAACCTTTGGAGTTGGAATGGAGTTTGAATCCGTTCCATATTAGTTGGGAATTAAATACCTAGACGAATGAGCCACAACTCCAGAAACGACGCAGTGCAATTAGGTAGAAATAGTATATTTGATAGGACGTGCGAAAATACCGATGCGCTTCTTCTACCTGGTTCGAGGGTCGCATATGAGCATTGCAATGTAACCCAGTAATGTGCCAAGTAGAGTGGATGCTTGACCACACGCCTTCAGCCTAGCCATTCGGTCGAAACTCAAAACGTTAGCACCAATGTTGAATCTCGTCGAGCTCTAGACTATTGATTTTGGAAATAGTTTGCTGGTGTAATTCTTCACACCGTCCAGCAACTTATGAAGTACTCTTGGCCTGTTTGTTGTTAAGCCAAACCGATACCTGTGTGGCTAACGGCGTTCATTTTTCAAAATGTGAATATACTTTCCATGAAAATTTGCGCTAGTTCTCAGGTATGTTGTGTCTTCTACATTTGGTATGTTTTATAAGTTTGGAGGATTTGAGAATTATGAAGTTATAATTTATACTATCCACTTTTATGGTTAATTCTGTAATACTGAACTTTAAAAAACTCTTCGAACCCTAACATTTAATTCCAAGTATATTGATGATTCACATTGTTTCAAAACGCCGAGAGACTAGGCATTATATCCATTTCTAACACTTTCGGTGAAGACACCACCTAAAACCTGACTATCCACTTTTTTGTTACCGAAGAAGTATCACCATAGAATTTAGCATTACTGCATAACAATCCAACTAGCCACGCCTGACATCACGTCAAGCGAGAATGCATTCAGATGGAAGATAAAAAAGTAGGGAGGAGAACAGTCAAAACTGGTACGAAGTCATCAAAGAAGGAAGGTTGAACGAAGGAATAGGGAAATTCAACTTGACGATTAAAATAAAGCCAGTGTGAAGTTACTTCTGTTTTACTGAGATCGATTCTAAGCCATTTCGTATAGTTCTTAACCACTAGTTTCTGTTGTTATGCGGACCGCAACTGGAAATTTCGCATTTCATACTTGACTCAGACCATTAGCGTAAGACTTCAAGGACTGATGCTATGTTTTAGTCTATTATTATTATTATTACTATTATTATTATTAGACCTTGGGTTCCTAGTGAAACATAGGGCTTCAGTAGCACGTCTCCAGTGACTTCTGTTCTCTGAGATCTTTTGAACCTGGTTCCACGACAGCCCAGAAGCTCTCATTTCCTCATCGCACGATCTCCTCCATGTCACCCTCACCTAGGACGTCCAACTCGTCGCTTCCCATGGGGATTCCACTCGAGCAACTGGCCTGATGCGTGATGTCTCCCGTCGGCCTTCTCAGTGCATGCCCAATCCATCTCCACTTCCTTACAGTGCATATTTGTTGGGTGATAGGTTCTTGGTTGGTTCGTTCCCAGAGCTCCTTGTTGCTTATTCTTTCTGGCAATCCATCTGATCTTCAGTAGCGAGTGAGCGTAAGCAGTTGTTGATGAATGTCTGTAGTTTATTGGAAATGCCTTTCGTGACGCGCCAAGTCTCTGAACCATACAGAAGCACTGACTTGACTGAGTTGGTGTTGAAAATCCGGATCTTGTTCACGCTTTATGCTGAGTGCAGAAGATCTGCACACTGGTTTCAGGCTAATGAACGCCTGTCTTGCTTTTTCGATTCTGACTGGCTTTTACATCCTCGTCTGTGCCTGTGCCGCCTGTAGTTGAAACAGTGCTGCCTAGATAGGTGAAGTAGGCTACTTCCTTTAAGTTTCTCCCATTGATGGTGATTGGAGTTTGTTGTTGGTGGTGAGGTATCTTCATCACCTCTGTCTTCTCTACATTCACTTGAAGTCCCGTCTTCGCTGCCTCGCCTCTTCTGTCAACTTGTTAGTTTTCGCCTGTAGATCTTCAAGTTTATGTGACATGAGGCACAAGTCATCGTTGGCGAAATCCAAGTCTTCTAGGTTCTTTTCCGTCGTCCAGCGTATCCCCCTCTTCTCGCTCCCCACTGTTTGCTTCATGATCCAGTCGACCACAATCAGGAATATCATGGGGGATAGTAGGCAACCTTGTTTCACTCCTGCCTGTCTTCACTTCAAAGGCATCACTGAGCTGAGCTTCCCATTGTGAATTACTTGTCATGTGGCATCTTCATATAGTTGTTGAATGAGGCTGATAAAGGTTTGCGGTACTCCGTAGTGTTGGAGCAGTTTCCAAATTACTTCTTGGTCGACGCTGTCGAAGGCCTTTTCAAAGTCGATGAAGTTGAGGTAAAGATCCAGTTGACTGCCATTCTATACTCTGTTCTGTGATGATGCGAAGCGTTGCAATTTGGTCTGCACATGATTTGTACTTCCTGGATCCAGCCTGCCTGTTCCAGTCATAGTTTTGAATCCAGTGCATCTTTTAGCCTCTCCAGGATGATGCGGCTTAATATTTTGCTTGCTCTGGGTGGACAGGAGAGTGATTCCTCGCCAGTTCTTGCAAGCACTGAGGTATCCCTTCTTCGGGAGTTTGACAAGGTAACCCCTCTTCCAATCAATGGCCAGGTACCTTCCCTTCCTTCCACACCTTCTGCAATAGTGGTGTGGTGTGAGCATGTCCGCTGTTGTCTCTGCGTCTGTTGTCAGTGCTTCTGGCGGGATCCCATCTGGTCCTGCTGCTTTCCCACATTTCAGTAGCGTTATGGTGTTCAGGACTTCCATTTTTGTTGGAGGATTTATGTTCACTTGTAGTTCAATGGCTGGGCTGCAGGTGGTATTTCTGGACGAAGTGCAGGTGGTGGTGGTGGTTGATTCAAGAGCTTCTTGAAGTGGTCGGCCCATCGTTTCCTCTGTTTCTCTTCTTTTGTAATTGAATTTCCTTCTTCGTCTTTTATTGGTTTCATCTGTGTTGGTCTCTTCCCTGATAGCAACCTGGTTATTTGATACAATGTCGTCAGGTCTCTCTTACCTGCAGCCTGTTCTGCTTCACTTGCCAGTGTTTCGTAGAAGTGTCTTTTGTCTTTGCGAGCACTCTTCTTCACTTCTTTGTCCAGTGTAGTGTTTTATACATTGTGCTCAGTTCCTCTTGTCGTTGAGCATCCTTGCACTGGTTTATCTTCTGCTTCACCATCCTCCTCTCCCTCCTCTGTCAGCTTCCATGTGTCCATCGAGATCCATTGCTTATCTTCTTGCTTCTTCCTTCCTAATAAGGTTATGTAGGTTTCTTTCCATATAGCTTTCAAAGAGTTCCAGTGCTCATCCACACAGGTTTCTTCAGGGATGCTGCTCGATATCTCTCATTTTGTCCTGGTGACTGACGTGAAGATTTCCTTTGTAGTTTCACCCTTCAGTTTCCGAGTGTTGTACTTGAACTGTGGTCTATCATCAGCTTCATTGAAGGCTTTCAACTTGATTTGGAAGGTTCCTTGCACTAGATAGTGAGTGATGTGAACCTACATCTGCTCCTCTTCTTGACCTTGTGTCAAGTAGACTGCGTCTCCGTTTTCTTGAGATTGAGATAAAGTCGATTTGATCTTTAGTGTGTCCATCTGGTGAACTCGAATCCACGTCACTTTGTGGATATCTTTGTGCTTGAACACACTGCCTCCAATCACGAAATCGTTGAATGCACAGAATTCTGCAAACAACTCTCCATTCTCGTTCATCGCCTCACCGAGAGCTTCTCGACCCATGGTTCGTTCTCTTCCTGTGTTGTTCCCTCCCAGTTTGGCATTCATGTCACCCACCCATTGGAATGGATCTTGATATCGCCAACTGAGTTGGGGTCTTGTCCAGTGTTGATTGCAGTTGTCTGTAGAATTCCTCCTTTTTCTCTTGCTCTGCATTATTTGTAGGTGCACAGCGTAGCATTGTATGATTGTGACCTTCCTTCCTTTTGAGTTGAATCCATCTTGCTGTCATGATCCAGCAGGAGGAGATTGGTTCCCACTGCATGCTAGAGAGCCTTCGATGCTGTTAGGGACATCATGATAGCCACTCCAGAACTCAGTGTGCTCGTGGTTGTCGTCTGGGTGACAATACCGGAGTAGATTATTGATTCTCCAGTTGACAGTTTGGAGAGTCCACTCCCATTCCATCTGCTTTCGCAAATTCCAAGCACTTCAATGTGATACCTTCTCATCTCTTTCGCAATCTGGGCTGTCTTGCTGGGTTCAAACATGGTGCGGACATTCCATGTCCCCACATTTACTTTTGCTTTCTTCGAGGAAGAGAAGACACATTGGTCAATCGGCTTCCCGAAGGCAGGCTTTCACCAACTGGCGTCATTTCGCCTCTCCGATTCCAGGGAGGAATAATTTTGTTTTTATTTTTTATATTTTGTTTGTGCTTTGAAGTTTGTTTAGCGGTTATATTTGTTTTCCGGGGTAGGGTTGGTAGCCGTATGCCCAACCTTCCCTGTTTACCCGGACTAGTAAATAGTGAACTAATTAACCAGGCGAGGTTTTAGTCTGGTCGCGTTTAAATTTTTTATTATCTGAATCTAGTTCGGCTAACACAGAGTGACTTGGCAAATGGTGGCTAGGCATGTGTAACATATGTTTCAACCAGTTAAGTCGCTGAAAGTTCGCAGCCAAAGTGACCAACTCTTCATCCTTGCCTAGTACTTCTCTCCTGACCTCTATGTTGCTCACATGGTGGTTCCACCATTCTTGAGCAATCCTACAAAGACACCTATGATCAAAAGCTTGCAGTCTCTTTACATCTACTTTCAGCGACCATAACTCAGCCGCACAAAAGTATAAAACGAACTGCAGTGCAGTATACCCGTCCTTTAATAGGTGGTCGGATATCTCGTCAGTCGGCGCTAGAGGTGAAGAAACTTGGCAAATGCCAAACAAACCTCTTTTTTTTACTTGACTTGGTACTTTGTCAGCAACCAGCCTGTTTAAGCTGGTGCAACTTTTGATCAAATAAAGTTGTTGACACGTTCAAGCCCTTCACTCAACATCAATTAACTAGTAGTTTCAGACCAGTCCTATGGGATCATTCTTCATCTGATAGGTACCAGTAAAAAAGACATGCCAAACGTACTCATATTTCTGCTCAACGGGCTCAGAAGGTGCTAAATTTTGTCGGCGTTATCGCCTAGCAGGACAGTGTCGTCTACATACTCCAAGTCAACTAGATACTCTCCAGAGAGTTGATCAATCCCTGTGAAGTCAGACGTACCTATGCTTATGTTCACTAGTACACTTATCAGGGAATTAAACAGAAACCGTGACAGTGGACACGACTAGCTGTCGTCAATTCACATAATAAATCTGCAAGAGCCCTTACATGACTGCCCGACTTCGAGTAGAGAGCTTTGATTAGTGTTATATATTTCCATGTTACTCCTCTCACAATCACATACTGCCACAACACCTCACGGTCGATGGATTCAAGTGCCCTCTTCAGGTCAAGAAATATGGCAAGTGTCGACCGCCGGTGGGTATGCTTGTACTCCAGAACCCGTTGAAGAGTGAAAGTGTGGTTGACCCATTCTCGTCTAGGCCTGAAACCTATCTGATTTCTCGAGTCTACTGTTCTCGAGCTCCAGTTAAGTGTCGGATAACCATGGACCCTAGGATCTTGGACACAACATTATTCAAACTAATTCATCCAGTATGGTTATCACAAGAAGACTTATCTCCCTTCTTATAGACTGGGATGATCAGTGAAGTAGACCAGTCTGACATCACAACCTGTGGTTTCCATACACTGTCTAGCATTTCCATTGCTCTAATAATAATAATAATAATAATAATAATAATAATAATAATAATAATAATAACAATAATAATAATAATAATAATAATAATAATAATAATTGCTCTAATAATTTCGTACCTCCAGTGTGGCAGGTCGTCATATCCTACTATCTTACATTTTCAAGGTCGGAGGTAGGAAATTGTTGAATAGAGTTGGAGAGTTACTATGCCACACGAACTATTTGACTGAAAGGAACGGTGGGTGAACACCAGAAGCCTCATATCCTCTACCTTCGGTGGCAATATTTTATAGGTGTATAACAAGACAGAGCGGACCCCAGCTTTGTACATTGGATGTTTTATGTTTAACTTTATTTTAGATGTGTTAATGAATATAACCTTAGGCTTTACATGGATTGACTTACTCCGAAGGTGGCGTCTGGTTGACTTGGAGTATGCATACACATTGTCGTGTTAGGTGAAGACGGCGACAAAATTTCGAGTCTTCTAAACGTGTTGATCAGAAATGTGAGTATGTTTCGGATCCGTTTTACGTTTCTCAAATATAAGGTGTTACTTGAACTCAGTGTTTTTGTGAGGATCACTAAGAAGTTCTAATAAATGTAACATGTAACGTGTCATTGCATACGTTAAATATGTCCTTCGAACTTTTACATATCCTTTGAAATGTTAATTGCTAGATCTTTATTACGTGCCTCAAGTTAGTTCTGCTAATCAGCTTGCCATCGTGGAAACAAGTAAGATACATGTATACATGCTTTGAAGATATATCAGTAGATGAACCAATCGTAATGTTACTTACGCCTATTGTGTTTACTTCAGTATACATATTTTATTTTCATTTTTAACAAAGTTAACTTTTAGCAGCGAGTACTTACTTGTCAACTACTTTTTTAATATTGTATTTCAGTCTGTCAAAGAGTATTGTTCATTGGTGCCATCAGAAGATGATCATTCTGCAACACAGTTTGCAAGAATACTTATACCGGGATTTAGCTTAAAAGGTTTTTTACGCTCAGCTGTTATGAAAGCAGCTCACTCTTACTACAACTCCTCATCTAAAGATACATATATGGGATACATGCATATCTGTAAAATGTACAGTAACACTTGCCATTCCCAAAAATCAAATCTGCAAGCAAACGATGTACCTAGAAGTTCAGTACGGGCTGGTGGTACGCGTGAATTCACTTCATCCAAACTACCTTAGGTGGTCGTGGCCGATTCTGGATCGAATAAATGATTTGAAAAGGAGACAAAATCAGCTATCATTTTAATTTTTCTTACCTTTAGTCGCAGTTTCCCAATTATAGGATAAATTGCTTCTCTTTGGCGCTTTTGAGATGTATGATAGACACGTTAGTTTCATTGTTTGTAAACACCAATGTTTTCTACTATTGGACTACCTAATATTCTAGAGGATTCAACAATAAACCTAATATTAAAGTATCGTTTTTCATTTCATTGTTTGGCTTGGATATTAAACGAAATACTGTTTGCATTTCTTGTAGTTAATTTTAAGAAATAGTTAAAATCTTACTGTATTTTGAATCATGGAGTCCTGTAATTCACAGTAAGAGTTGCTTATCCTATATGTGGTCAAGGGTTCATGCTACTGAGTTTTGGATAAGGATTCGTGATTTTGTTAGTTCTCCCCGGTTTTCTTCAAATCATTCCAATATCTCACCAACCAGTTCATCAGCTAACTTTTTTTTCACCGGTCTATTACTATCCGTTGTTAACAGCATCCGAAGCCGTTACCAAAAAGAACACTAAACCGTCACTAAAAATAACTACTGATTCGCTACTTTTTATTAATATAAGAGTAAAACTTGGGCACTGTGGTCGATTGTAATTCCATTTTAGTCTGTTTGTTAGAAATATCACACAGTGAAACAGTAGCATTTACTGGATAACGTTTCGTACACAATTTATTGTCCATATTCATATCAGGTAACTCTACAACTTCGAGACACTGTTTCACTGTGTGATATTTCTAACAAACAGACTAAAATGGAATTGCTACTTTTTACAGATTTCAAAATCACTTGTTGTTTCTGTTAGGGATGCCTAAATTCTGTATATTCCATACTTACAGTCTGGGTATATTTAAACTGTTTTACTTCGCTCTGTTTTCCCTCGACCGATAGCTGCTACATTGACGTGGTGATCAGGCACGCATGTCACAGTGACCCAACGAGCTATACTGGTGGAACGCTTATTCCCTCGAGGTCGTACCATGCCAGTAAGGTCTATTGGGTAGTGGTTAGACGAAAAGCAGTTACCGTTATAGTGTAAATTGCTACACTATGATGGGTGTGTAAAGGTGAAGTCATACTGCTGCTAGCTTCACGTCTCTCAATTAACGATGCTGCATCATCTTCAATTTCTCCTACCTCTGCAGCCTTCGACAACGATCTGAGTCCACAGAACAGCATCCCTGGTCTCCTTAAACCACGCTCCAAATTACATATTGGAGCCTTCAATGTCCGCACCCTCCGTCAAATTGGCCAACAGGCTTCGTTGGCAAAGACTCTAGCAACTCGGGCATGGATGTGTGCTGTGTTTGTGAGACACGCATACAGGACCCAAGTGTGGTTATTCACCTGACCTCTCCTGACCAATCTGGTGAATCTGCAAAATTCACCCTTCGAGTTTCTGGAGATTCGATAGCTAGCTCTCGTGGTCTTGCAGGTGTAGGTATAGCATTAAGCACCAGGGCAGAAAACTCACTACTAGACTGGATCCCAGTTGATAGTCGCCTCTGCGCTATGAGGCTGAACGGCACAGTGAGAACTAAAAGGAATAGTGAGACTCGCCGTTGTCTCTTTGTAATCTCTGCTTACGCACCCACTGACTGTAGTTCGGATGAAGTGAAGGACGAGTTCTACCATAAACTGTCTAACCTCCTCTCGAAAGCCAAACGTTCGGACGTAGTGGTTGTTGCAGGTGACCTCAACGCACAGGTGGGTAGACTGAGTGAGGCAGAAAGGCACTTAGGTGGCACTTTCGGAATCCCAGCTGAACGTACAGATAACGGTGATCGCCTATTACAACTATGCTCAGATAACCGCCTATTTTTAGCCAGCACAAATTTCAGACATAAAGAAAGGCACTGTCTGACCTGGCGTCCACCGAGCTCGACTCAGCGATGGACACAGATAGACCACATTGCTATTAGTCATCGCTGGAGAGGATCGGTGGAAGACTGCCGCTCCTTCTGGAGTACGTGTTTGGACAGCGATCATGCGTTGGTCCGAGCACGTATATGCCTGCGTCTCAATGGACGTAGAAAAAATTTGGCAACAAAACCACTACGAGTTCTGCTGGACAACGAAAACACCAAAGCCGTGTTCAGTGAGAAGTTGGCTAGGCAGTTATCGGAACAAAAGACTGTCACTCATCCAGAAGAAGCTTGGTGCCATCTTCAGTCTACTGTAAAAGCAGCACTGGAGACTGTAGCCGACTCCAAGATAATGGCTAAAAAGAGCCAGTGGATATCAGCAGCTTCTTCCAAACTAATGGATGCACGTGAATGCATCCCTGCAGGCTCTGAGTACAATGAAGAGCGAGCGCAACTTAAAAATAAACTGACGAAAAGTCTGCGCAACGATCGTGAACAGTGGTGGGCAGCAAAGGCTAAAGAGATGGAAAAGGCAGCGGCGATCGGTAACAGTAGACAGTTATTTAGACTTATTAAGGAGACTGGGGGGAAATGGTCAACAACAGTTAGTGAGGTTATAGCGGAGAAGGACGGATCTGCGATTCACTCGCAGGGAAGGCGACTGGGACGATGGGCAGAACACTTTGAGGAACAGTTTAACTGGCCTCCAGCCACCATTGCGCTGCCCGCTATCCAGTCGGACCCTGAATGGGACATAGAGACAGGTCCCCCAACACTAGAAGAAGTTGAGAAAGCGGTAGGTAGCCTGAAACGGGGAAGGGCAGCAGGACCAGACGGACTACCTGCTGAGGTATACAAGAATGGTGGTAGAGTTCTCTTAGTCAGGCTAACGGAAGTGTTAGCCAGTATATGGGAATCAAATACGATCCCCTCCGACTGGTCTAAGTCACTCATCATCCCAGTCTTCAAGAAAGGCGAGAAGTCCTCTTGTGATAACCACAGAGGAATCAGCCTGACAAACATAGTGTCTAAGATCCTAAGTTCTATAATTCTCCGACGCCTGAGTGGAGCTCGGGAACAGCAAGCCCGAGAAAACCAGGCAGGCTTTAGACCTGGCCGTGGATGTATCGACCAAATATTCACACTGCGCCAGGTCCTGGAACATAGGCATGCTTACAGACGCCCGACAATAGCTGTATTTCTCGACCTGAAGGCGGCATTTGACTCCGTTGATCGAGAAGTCTTATGGCAGTGTCTGTCACTGAAAGGCGTGCCTAGTAAGTACATCACCTTATTGAAAGCTCTCTACTCGAACACTTGTGGGCATGTTAGAGCCTATGGTGAGTTGTCCAGGGAGCTATACTCATCAAGTGGTGTCCGTCAAGGATGCCCACTATCCCCATTCTTATTTAATTTTATCATAGATATTCTTATGGAGGTTTCCCTCTCGTCACCTAATTACAAGACGTTGACCCGATCACAGGTGAATTTTCCTTAGATCTAGAATATGCAGATGACATAGTCCTGTTAGGTGAAGACGCTGACAAGATGCAGAGTCTTCTGAACACTTTGAGTGGGAATTTGAGAATGTTTGGGATGCGATTTTCACCACCCAAATGCAAATTTTTGCTCCAGGACTGGTCTTCAGCGGTACCGCGGTTAACAATAGAGAGTGAAGTGGTTGAGTGTGTTGACCACTTCACTTACCTGGGAAGTAGGATCAACCTGGTGGGTTAGTTGCCGATGAGATTTCTGCACGGATACAAAAGGCTCGATTGGCTTTTGCCAATTTGCGCCACCTATGGCGCCGCCGTGATATTCGTTTGTCTATTAAGGGTCGCGTGTACTGCACAGCAGTCCGCTCTGTTCTACTGTATGGCTGTGAAACATGGCCATTGAAAGTGGAAGATACAAAAGGTTCAGGTGTTTGACCACCGTTGCCTTCGTAGTATAGGACGTATTCCGTGGTGTCACCATGTGAGTAATGCAGAAGTTAGGTGTAGAGTTTTGGGAGAAGAGGTAAGTCAGTCGACGAGGTTGTGAACCTTCATCGACTGAGATGGTTGGGACACGTACTACGTATGCCTAGTCACCGATTGCCTCGTCACACAATGTTGGCTGAGGTGGGTTCAGGCTGGAAAAAGGCCCGAGGTGGCCAGACTAAAACATGGCACCAATGTATGAAGTCTCTGACTGTTGGTTTAAGCCATGTAGGACGATGCAGACTAGGTGGTTGGGGTCCACGGGACAAGAGGAACCAGTGGTTGGAGACCCTAGGTGATATGGCTCAGAACCGAAGTCAGTGGCGCAGATGTATACACACATTATCCTCATCTTAACAACGCTATACCGAATCTCACCATTTTGTCACTCCTCTTTCCTTTCTTCTCGTACTTTATATTTCTTTTGACTGCATTTTCTTATCTTCATTCTTCACTTCACTACGTTTTTACTTGACGTACTGATATGAGGTGTGGCAAGTCGGACCGTTACGCAGTAATGCCTGGTCCTATGTTGATAATGATTGATTGATTGGGTCATATTTCGTACGCCCCGCTAGCGTTCTGATTGGCTTCTGTCTCTTTAAGTGTACTAATTATTCCTTACCTTTCAAGGCTATTGCAAATTCTATAAATAGGGTCCGTTTTCACTAGTAAACGTTTTAGTCCGAGATGGTATGAACTCGGCTGATATTCAGTCTTTTGATTTCTCTTTGTGAATCACTTGGATTGAACCATCTCAACCGTTGACTATCAATCGTTAAGTATTATCGTTCGTTCTCACAACTCCGCATCGTAACAGTTCCAGTGTAAGAACCCAACAGTGAATCGATATCTATTTAGTTTCTTTTCGTAAAAACTGTATTGATGTCACGAAGTATGCAGGGAAAACAAGTGCCCATCAATCCTATTTCATTCATTGTACAGTCTAAAATGTTAAAATTGTGATTATTAGCATTGGTCACTTTTAGTGAATTACCTGTTACACTTTTTCGCGTTATCTTAATAAGCACTTCTTGCTAATGTTGATATAGGTATAACAGGAAGGCTTTCTAGTACATTCTACTTTCAATGTGCATTACGTCTGAATGGCAGTAGTCCAACATACAATCGAATCGGAGTACAACAGTATTCAAGTTAAGTAGATTGAAATAATCTGAAAATTCTTTCTTTGCTATCAAATGAAAATTAGTTCGATGGATGTAACTAAAGCTATGGAATAAAGTTTCATCCACGTTTTCGCTATAACTGAATTTGATAAACTGATACGACAGTCAGAAATTATACAATAAAGTGTATAACTAATCCCTTATCGAAAGCCTTGAGCAGAACTGAAATAAAAATGCTCGAGAAATAACTAACCATTACAATAGTAGTATTTTAACTGAAGTGCGACGATGCTAACTCTTGCTTAGAAGAAACAGTAAGCTTAGTGAGTGCGGTAACCGCTGGAGCGACTTAAGTATAGTTTGTACTATCAGTTTCGACCGATAGCTGCCACATTGACGTGGTGATCAGGCACGCATGTCACAGTGACCCAACGAGCTATACTGGTGGAACGCTTATTCCCTCGATGTCGTACCATACCAGAAAGGTCTATTGGGTAGTGGTTAGACGAAAAGCAGTTACCGTTATAGTGTAAATTGCTACACTATGATGGGTGTGTAAAGGTGAAGTCATACTGCTGCTAGCTGGATGGGTTGTGACAGCAGTAAGGTGTTTCCCTTGGTTGACCAACTGTGCTACGCTGATGCTCACTTCCCGGGGGGAGGGGCGTCAAAAAAAGACGGCCCGGAAAGTAATACATTTCACTATGCCCTATGGGGTGCCGG